CCTATGGGTTATTACAATTGCCTATGGATTATTACAATTGCCTATGGATTATTAAGACAATAACTAAAGCAATCATTTGCTAATGATGAACCCTTCATTTAAATATTGAAAATTTTATTTATTTGCATGCAAAATGTGAATTCCCACCCACCCCCCCGCCCCAGAAAAAGGAGTTCCGATTGATTACAATAATGACACAGGCACTGCCAGAGAGAAGGAAGCGTGGACAGGGCCACGCCCCTCCAGGAACGTGGAGGTATTGGGAATGATCGTCTTCCCAGTGGGACAGCCATCCTCCTAGTACAGCACTCTAACAACACTGGCGATAGAAACGCATCTGAAAAATGTGGAGGGACGGCTGACATGGTGTAGTGGTGTCAGAAAAGCACATTTTAGTAGTCCTTAGCTTTGTAGAGAAGGGAAAAGATAAAGTCTGAGAGGCAAAAGCATCCCTGTCACCAGAAAAATGTTCTCAACTGGGCAGCAACAGTACTGCAATGATATTACTATGGTTTGGATGAAACATCCCTCAAGATATTATTTCCCTTTGCCTTAATCCTAAGCAAACTGCTAATTAGTATTTTGGCTTCCTAGATATCTCAATATCAGGAAAGAGGTTTCCATGGATTACAAACAGGAACATTCCGGTTACCACAAAGAGATCATTGACATTATAAGTCAATAAATTAGTGTTCTTGGCTTCCCGGGTGGCACAGCGGTTAAGAATCCACCTGCCAATGCAGGGGACACGGGTTTGAGCCCTGGTCCAGGAAGATCCCACATGCCGCAGTGCAACTAAGCCCGTGCGCCACAACTACTGGGCCTGCGCTCTAGAGCCCATGAGCCACAAATACTGAGCCCGCGTGTTACAACTCCTGAAGCCCACAAGTCTAGAGCCCGTGCTCCACAACAAGAGAAGCCACCGCAATGAGAAGCCTACGCACCACAAAGAAGAGTAGTCCCCGCTCACTGCAACTAGAGAAAGCCCACATGCAGCAACAAAGACCCAATGCAGCCAAAAATAAATAAATAAATTAGTGTTCTGATAAATACTTATGATAATAGTCAATTACCCAACAGAAGTACTTATTTATGTAGGGTAACTGATAAAGTTGAGTTTCTGGTCCTTCTTAGCTAAGGACAGAGCTTGAACCAGAGACAGACTCCAGAGTCACTGTTCCTTCCCCCCATCCTGTTCTCTCACTCAATTCCAATAACTCTCTTTAGCCTCAGTGTTAAACCTTCCTCATGAAAACTTCGAAGACTGTGATTAAATCAATTCGTTTTTCTAGGAGCTTCCTGGTAGCCAAGACAAAAAGGGCAAGAAACTTTGGCGGATAATTAGTTCTCGTTACCCGATAAAAGGATCCTTTGGAAACCAATATTAAGAGATATTAAAATCCTATTTTCATCTACCATTTAGACTGTAGGGAGAAAAAAACTTATGAGTAACAGTTTTACATGATTTCATGTAAGCATGAAAGCTTTCATGTAAGCTTTCATGAAAGATTTCATGTAAGCATGATTCAGGAAAGCAGATTTTTCAAAAGATGAAACACTACTCTTAGCCTCAACCCCAGCGCTATCCCTATCAAGTAAGTAGTTCAGAATTTGCTTAAGTCTTTGAAAAATGCTAATGCTGTATTCCTAACTAGGAATGTTAACATATAAACGTTGAGATCCAGAAGTTTATTTCAAGTCAGTTGTTTAAAACACAAAATACTTCTCCATGAAAATAGTAGTCTTAAAATTATGGGAATTACCAGGGGGAAGCCCAGGAAATCCTATTTGACCCCAAATGCAGCTGAAATGGTGCTAATAGCAATCGTGATCAGATACCACGTTTTGGTCCCTGGACCTCCAGCCAGGTTGCTCCAGGCTGCACAGTGGCTCCCCTAGCACTGCCCTGATTCTGCTCCAAAACGGGGCTGGCATGAACCCCTCATCTCTGCTCAGAAACACGTCTCAGGGCGCCCAGACTCTAGTCAGGGCCCCCGCCCACCGAGATCCCAGAGAGAGCACTGAGCCAGGACTCAAAGGTCCACCTTCCACGTGTCCTTCCATCTTTTAGGAAACTAGCCTCTCTAAGCCTCAGAAGTCACACCTGAATGTGCTAAGAAGCCCAGCGTTCAAGGACACCATGGGGTGGCGGGGGGGGGCAGAAAGCTCCTCTGTGAATTATTAAACAATCTCAGTTTCAAGGGAATCCTGTTCTGAGTTGCAAAAAATTGAATTACAAATAAAAAATTGAAGTATAATTGTTGGAGCTGCCTTTACTATATTTTTACTGATGTTTTTGCATTCGATTTCTTTCTCTTACAATAAACTCTGATTAGTAGCTGTCGATTTGGTGCTCACCTCTTCAGTTCTCATGAGCAACCTATGATTTCATGTCTAATTCTTCAAATGCATGGCCTTGCTTTCATTATGTTTTTCTTACATTTTATTCAGGATTGACAAATCCCTTCTCAGATTGCTTTGCTCCCTTCTCCAACAAATATTTCCTCTTCTTCCAGGCCAGTCTTTCTTTAAGAACATTCTTTCCCTTAGGATTCGCAGCAGCCTATCCAACAGAATGTGACTGTGGAAAGAGTCCACTTCTATGCTCTTCCCTAAGTAGCCACTCACCACATATGGCTTTTGAGCACTTGAAATGTGGTGGTTTGACTGAGAAACTGAGTTTTTAATTTCACTGAATTTTGATGGATTTAAATTACAGTAGCCACATAGGGCAAGTGGCTACCCAAAAATGTAAAGATGCTGTTATTGGTTTCCCCACTGGAACTGAATTTGACATTGGAATTGAATTTTCACGTGTGTGTGTGTGTGTGTGTGTGTGTGTGCGTGTGTGTGTGTGTGCCTGTCTGTCTGTCTGTCTATCTACAGCTTCCTGGCATTGTTTTTGCTTTAAGGTCTCTTGACTGGAGGGATAAGCAGCCTTTTTCCTACGATAAGGCTGAAAAGGTACTGATTTTGCTTTGGAGACTTCTACAGGTAGGAGAAAGTCTCCACCTGGCTGTAGGATGATCACATTTGCTACTGATAGGGTTCAATCAATCTGCCCTGACCCATGTTTAAAAAAAAAAAAAAAAAACACACACACAAAATAAACAAACCTTTTTGATCCCTACCTCCCCTGCCAGCTTATCATCCTACTTCCTTGTTCTATAAAACAAAACCCATCGTAAGAGCTTCCCACACTGGCTGCCTCCCATCCCGCTGCCCCCATCCTGCCCTGGGACCTCAGGCCTTCCTCCTGTCCCTGCACGGAACAGCTCTCCCCAAGGTCCACCTGGAATCCACACTGCCAAGTCCACCATTAACTTCCTGGGGCCTCTGTCACCGTTGCTTGCTTTCTCCTTGAAATGCTTCCTCCTCTTGGCCTCTGGGCCACCATATGCCTGGCCTTCCTGCTCCTCTCAGCCACTGTTGGTGGCATCTCCTCTTCCCGTATTCCGGAGGCTGCTGGGCTCATTTCTCAGCTGTTTACTGGCATCTCTCTAGGAGACCGCGACTAGCGCAGTAAGCCCACATGCCGTGCACCTTCTCATGACTGTTGTTGGTCCCCTCAGCACCAGCATCAGACATCTCACTGTCTACTCAACCAAGAAGATGCCTGATCTGACTCGCAAAAAAGAGAGGTAAAGAGCAAGTATACCGGTCAAATAAATCTTCAAACATAGGAGAAATAAGTGAAAGAGAAAAAAGCCATACAGGTGTTTTAGAAAACTCATGCAAGACTGCCTCTGTGTTCCTGGCAACTATTCTAACATCGAGAATCCCCGTATCTTTCCCGATCACAGACAGTTCTTTTGGCCACTGTCCACGAAGCCCCTGCTCAGATGAAGAGGGATTATCAGGGAAGGTAGAGACAGTCTTAAGGGAGGGGGAACGTCACAGCGGGGCTTTCCTTGTACCTGTTGCATCACAAGAGTCCAGGCTGCCTTCTGCTGGGTCATTGCTCATCTGCTCCTGGGTGTCTGGCCTGCTTCTCAGTGTCAGCAAAGCGGGTCCTTTGCTCCCACTTTTAAGTGTGAAGGGGAGGCAGCTGGCTGGAGAGAACAACAGGGTATGGTGTTAATGTCAACTACTCGTGAAATGTACTGTCACAATCAGGAGTGGGGCTCTCCTAGGAAGTCTCCAATCCCAGGAAGGTCATTTACACAGTGTGACCAGGGCTGCAACTGCCCCTCAATACAGGAGCGCGCACACACACACACACACACACACACACACACACACACAGCGCCAAACTGTGGCTTCAGAGCTGTTGTGGTCAGAAACTTACACTGGCTAGAACATCCTGCTTCTGGTCATGTACAGTGGACTCTGAGAGTTAGCTATTTGCAGGTGGCTTTAAGAGTTAGACTCAATTTGGCAGGTTTTCCTAAGGGGATATCAGGTCAGCCTGCACTGTCTAGCACCTCCGATAGGACCCGAAATGTAGGGAATGTGAGTGTATGTGCGTCTTGGTGCGTCAGGAGATGAGATGAGGGCGAGAGGGAAGGTGGAGGGTGAAGGGCTAGACTAACATGCTTGTTCAGTGCAGCGCTGACCTTTGTTCAGCTTAGCCACAAACCTCTTTAAGAACCCAGGAATTGTGCTGTTCCTTCCTCAGGCCTGGGTCTCAGACGCATTCTTGTGACACAGTGATGTTGGTGTTATATTATCTGTAATTCACTTTAACAGCCTTTAGTATAGACAGCGTGATGTTGAGTCATTAGGCAGTTTTAACCTACATCCTTGGGGTAGGTAGTTAGCATCTGAGCACCCTGATCAATGACGCACTTCAGAAGTGTTTCATATGTGAAAGAAGCATTGAAATCTCATACTCCGCAGGTGGCCGCTATAGATTCTTCAACTGTCTTTATTGCTGGTCATACTGGAGGGTTTGTCATCAGAATAATGGGTATAGATATGGCATTTGAGTGATGAAATGAGAGGAATTCAAGAAGGACGAACTGGTTAGAAGATTTGGGGTTCTGCCCGGTGATACGAAGAAGGTAAAAGACTCCAGCAATTCTTTCCAGTTCTGGGAGCTGCAAGTGGAGGGATCTAACATCTGGTGGGACTCAAAGGTTAGCTGAATGCTGCTGCTAGAACAGTACTGACCTTTCCTGAGTGAACATCTCATGAGAGGCCAGCAGAATGCCCAAGATGACAGTGGGCAGAGCACTCACCGCCAGGAGCAGGGCTCTCCCGGGAAGGCTCCAATCACAGGTAAATGGTTTGCCTTTGTGTGTCCCTGTGCCCATTCCCTGACAAAGGTTCATCTCAGTTGCAGGATTTGGTCTGAGATTTACTTCATCCACAAGATACACGGGGAGTGGGGAGATAGGAGAGGCACCCTGTACCCTTCACCCAGCTCTAACTACTGGGGCCCACGGGCATCTTCCATTAAGAACCTGGTTTCGAAAATACCGAAGTGGCTTGGGTCAGTTTGCAACTTCAGCTCTTCTGCTCTTGAAAGTAACTTGTAACAGTAAATGTGATTTTTAATAATAAAGGTTTCACTTTTTCTTGAAAGTAAATTAGAATGAGTAGATTCATCTCTTTCGTGTGCAATCTGAAGAGCTTTCTAGAGAGGAAGGGATGGGGACAGAGTTGCCATGATCCAGTGGGAATTGCCCAGGGCCTTGGATACTCTTCCAAAGGATGGAGCTGTGCCAGTGAACGCCATCGTGGTTAACAAGGGCTGGAGACCACTCTCCTAGAGCCTCACCCTCAAGGGCCCAGTGCTGCAGTAAAACCACGAGGGAGCAATGAAGAGAGCCCTCTGTGTCCCGATTCTGGGGGACCGACCACACCTTCCTAGCACACCTCCTGCGCCTAAAGCACCCAGATTCTGGTTCATACCAGCAGGGCTGATCTGGCCAGCTGAGGGGCAACGGCTAGGAGAATCTTCCCAGTTACTGAACACACGTGGAGAGTGTGGTGTATTTGTTCTCACTGGGAGAATGGCAGTGTGCCGGGGTGTTATAGACACAGAGGGTTCGATTCAGAAGTGTGTCACGGGGCGATGTCGGGCTCAGCCTGGTCTCTTTCCACAGGGTCATGAGGTTTGCTGTCATTAAGGAAGATTCTTGGGGTGGGGACCACCGAACATCATGGGCAGAAGAGCTGGGCACTGTGTGTCGGGAAAAAAGGCAAGGACTGAGGAAAGGAGCAGAGGCGGCTGAAGACAAAGGGCATCAGAGCAAATAAGACCAGAACCATGCCAAACATCAGCCCTTTGAAAAGTTTAATCCAGCCCTCTCCATGCCAGTAACAGCAGGGTGGGGCAGTGGGGTAGAACCAGGACTGCCAGGTACATCTGTGTGCGTGCAACTATTAACTAGTGTTCATGGGTCTCTGTGTTGCTATTCTTACCTTTGATGTGTAAATAACTAACAAGAAAGCTGAGGTCACATGTCTGAAGTGAAAAATCATACAACAACCGATTACAAATAATTTCTAAGTCCTATGTACAGATTCTAGGATGCTTTATTGGTGAGAGGATGACTTTTGATATGCAATAAATATTTCGGATTAAAATGTCCCATAACATATGAATTATTTTAAGACAGCTTAATGCAGGTATAATTGACACCTAAACTGCCCATATTTAAATAGAGCACTCGGATAAATTGTGATATACGTATGCACCCGTGAAACCATCGGCATAACATTTTGAGTAATTAGAGTTGTGTGGAAACGAAAGCACAAAACGGAGAATGCTGGAGCGGGATGACTAGTAGTCTCGTCTCGGTTTCGACATTTCCCGTGCAGTATCGGTCCAGTCACATGACATGCCTCATATCAAAGTCGAGCTATAGGCTTGATGGAGGGGCATGGATATTGCCTATTTCAGGCCACCCCCAAGCTGCCAAGAGCCCTTGAGGCAGGAGTGCCAGGAACCACCAGGCCGGGCAGGGCTGGAGGTGGAGGCATCCACAGGTTTGCTTTTCCTGACCCCTCTAGCCTCCAGCCCTGTGTGGCAGATCACATATTCCTTTAAAATTTTAGGACATTCTAATGATAACTGTGTCTAAAAGACCAGGGCCAAAGTTTCTTTCTAAAATAAGAGGAATAGATACGGATTGAAACTCAACCATGAAGACTGCAGAAGAAGGAGAGACATTAAAGGTCAGTAGGAGGGTCTCTCCCCCTGAAAAGCCGGGGCAGGTGGGGCAGGTGACACCTCCCTGCATGGAACTGAGATCATGTCCAGCACTGCGTTACTGGCACAAACAGGCTGGTTGTCACACCAGGGAAAACAGGAATTGGATCACAAAGGGGACCTCCGGGGGCCTTGAGAGAACTCCATTAATTGACACATTAATGAAGTAGGATCCGCTGTGACTAGCTGGATTGAGCCCAGGATCTACGGCTGTAGGGAGTCACTGTTCTGCGTACAAAGTGATGCGCAAAGAAGAAAGTGTGTGTGTGTGAACACCCAGGGAGCCGCGCTGGGGCTCCAGGGACTCCCCGGCCCAGCAAGCAGGCCAGCAGAACACCAGGGGCGACTGCTCTTCCCTGCACAGCTCAGCTGAGCAGAGACCTGTGTGAACTGGGAGCTCTGGGGCCGGATCGGCAGGATGATGGGCCCTTGGCAGGAGCCCAGGCGCACACGCGCAGCAGAGGCTGGCAGCCCTGAGGGCAGCGGGCATCAGGGAGAGAATGAGACGGAGTAAAACGGCACCTCGGCAAGCGCTGGGGCTGGGAGCTGGTGACACCCGTGTGCACTCACGAGCCATAACCGGTACTGTGCCCTTATTCACACTCAAAACTGGTGAGGCTTGGGGACATACAGATTACAAACGTTTCTGAGATAAGCGGCCACATCTTTACACAGATGAAAACCAGGATTTAACGATTTTTAATAATAAGGTGAAAAACATTAATCCTAGACGATATGCTGCACACAGCCTGGAAATTCAGCCAGCAGAAGCCGCACACGCGCTGAGAAACATCATCTGAGTCTGAGCCAATCTCGAGTTTAGACATTTTCTCCCCAAAGAAACCGTTCAGCAGATTCCAGGAATGCTGTGTTTCGGGGCCACCGAGGAGACCACGTTTTCCTGAAGGAAGGGACTTGTCGGCGAGTAACAGATTCCAAGGGAGTGAAGGAAGGAAGGGGAGAGGTGAAAAGAGGGGACACACACACACACACACGCACACACGTGCACACGTATGCACACTCTCGTACACACACTAAGCCTCTTTCAGAGTGTGAGGGGTTGGCGGTATGGAGGACCAATCAGATGGACCAAGGTCCAGGAAAGAGGACGAGATGAAGCTGCCTGACAGAAAACAGAGGGTGGCCAAATAGCTCTAACTGCGTTCTGAAAAGTGTGAGGCTCAAACCTCATTTCCCAGCATCTGTGTCCTCCGCTACGGATCCACTCAGGTTACTACGGCAAACCGCTTTCTCCCCAGCCTTATTCTGTTCCACCAGAGCAGTCGGGATTCCCTTTCTTCTATAAACCATTCCTGGGAGTCAATGTAACGTGAAATGCAGGCTCCTTGACCACAGAAGGCCTCCTGCTTAGGCCCTAGGCCACAGAGTAACTTCACCCACTGAGGACAAACGGCGCGAACAGCAGAGTTCTAACAGGAAGACCACAGAAAGAGAACACTATGTGTTCTCTCGTCCAGACTGATGAAGCCCCAGGCGCCCCGGTGCCAGCCCTGTGTCCTGCACTTACCAAGAGTCAGGGAGTCCTTCTGACAGTTGGGCACCAAGGCCTGGGTTGTAAGTTTCCACAACTGTAAAATTCACAAATTCTTTACAATTGATTCAGTTTGTGAAATTCACAGTATGGGTTTTTTTTTTATAGCAGCTCCTTCATTTTCTTTTATTTTCTCAATGAGCTCATGCACACTGCAGGGCAAAGCAGAGAGAGAGGGTGCTTCAGGATAGAGCGTGAGCCACAGGGACCGCCGAGGGGCAGTTCTTGTGCGCAGGATCTGATATCGAGTGAGCACCTGACCTTTTAGGAGAATCGTGGAGGCAATGCTATCATTTGCTGTAAGCAGGTTTCAGAGGATTAGGCCTGAGGAACCGTTTCAG